ATTGCAGCCGCAAACTATGGAGCTTCGGGCACGAACTTGAAGAAGCAGTCGTCAAGGAGGACCAGAGAGTCTCGACAATCGACTAGCGTCTCTCGTTGTCCAAGCCCGGCAGAAAGTTCGCGACCGTAACTCACAGATCACGATTGTGAAGTGAGGCCATGATCGCCCAAGCCAGACAAGACCGAATTCGTTGAAGCCAAGATCGCGACCTCTGTCCTTGAGATCAAGGCCGCGAACTTCGACCTTTCAACCATGAACTTGCTCATGTCCTCATAAAACTATAAATAAGAGACTCCTCACCGTAGATGGATAGAAGCTTTGAGAAGAAGAATTGAATGAGAGCTTTGTAGGAGGATTTCTAGCTCTTGAAGACCCTTCTTCACAATTTTTTCCTTTCATTGCATGTCTCTTATCCCACTCTTCATGGGGTAATTCCTTAATGGAAAAATTATTGTTTCTCGCTCGGAATAGTCTAATATCTTCTCTTATGCTCCTCACCAGTCCTTGACTGCTATGAGTGTAAGAAACACAGATCTAGGCGTGTACGTCTAGGGTTCAAGTATCAAAAATTGGACAAGTAGAATTGGGAATTGTGGTAAGAATTAGAGATTGGAAGGAGAAGCTTGAGGAAGAATAAATGAATTGGTATCCCAGGGAAGAGGAGGGTCGACGGCTACTAGCTAAGGAAGAGATGGAGAACGAGAGTGGTAAGGAGAGAGAGAGAGAGATTTAGGGTTTAGGGAATGATTTTTGTGTTATTTCTTAATGAGAAAGATCCCACTAATACAGAATATATATGTCTATAAATTTCCTATAACTACCCGAAGTAATACCTCTTAACAAAATATCCTCTAAATGACAGACTAATATCCAAATAATTATAAATTAAACTACACCCGCAGTCAGAAACCATGTTTCTAACAATCCACCCTCTTTGAGACCAACCTTGCCCTCAAGGTTAGCCTTCGTCCTTCTCGAGCTCCTTGAGAAAGAAGGAATACATAGCGGCTAGGGTTTCCATATGCTTCTTTATTCATGTTTTTCTAAAATAACCCTTTTGCCCTCTCCATTTCACTTAAATTAAACCCTCCTGCCACCTTCCTCTTCTAAAATCGAAACAAACTAACAAAATCATCAATGGCCTGGGTCGGACCAGAGGCTTAGACTCTCATGCTTCAGAGACAACACATTTAGCCATTAGGCTAACTGACTCAAATTTTTACTAAGAACACAATTCGGTACTATTTAATGATGTGGAGGACATGATCAATAGTTTCCAATAGTCATTTATGATGACACTATTTGAAGGTCATCAGCTAATTACCAAAATATATTTTCTAAAAATTCAGTTAGCATCTCAACCAAGATAAATAGAACTTGATGAGATCACTTTGTAAATCATTCAAAACATTGAACTAACTAAAAACCTTTTCATTCTTTATGATACGCGTCATTAGACCTAATAATCTCATCGAAATTCTTTTTTTTTTTTTTAGCTCCTTAGTCCCATTGGACTCTAAAATACACAATATACAATTAGAACACCCAACTCTTAGAAACTTATCGATTTATGTAGTATCAATTTAGGGCGTTGTGGGGTGTGAATACACTTTCCCAAACGTAATCGTACTCCCGAACCCATATTTCTAAAATTTCGCAGAACAAATCCCGGTTCTGACCCAAAGGTTGGAACCGGACATATGGTGTTCGATCCACCACAAGTAAGATCTATGGCGACTTCGAGCAACGCGTGACGGATCCCCTGATTCGGAGGGGTGGTTGCAACAGTACTCATCATCTGACGTGTCTGCATCATTAGAGTTATAAACATGGAAAAATATCTCGTGCCACAGAAGCAACAACATCAGCCTCTGCTGCAAAGCTACCAAAGCTATCATTCTCTTCTGCAGGTTGATTAGGATCATTTTCACCTGCTTGTTGGTCGAATGAATCAGCCATCTTAACAAAGCCATTAATTAACTAATTAACCTAACGTAAAAATAGTTTTTTATTGGCTAATGAACAAATCAAAAGCACACCCTTCCACCATTATTCTATGCTAGGGTTTTGACAAATCAAGAATTCAATGACTATTCTACCCAGGAGTTGGAGGCACTCACCATCGAATTGAGGGGCAAACTCGCGAAAAGAACACAAGCAAGCTAGCAGTGGTCCATTTTGGGATCTGCTGTGTCACTTTCCTTCCTTTAGAACAAGCCAAAACTACCAAAAGAGACAAAAAGGAGACAAATTGCCTATAAGTACCCCCTACCCAGAATCAAATCCCACAACGTCTATCTTCACAATTCAACTCACCAATCGCGACAGACTCGTGCTCCAGATTCCTAGGCTTCGACTAAGCTCTTGTCACTGCAAGGAAGCTTGTGTTTCATCGGGAAACGGTTGTCGTCGGTCAATTACACCAGATGCATGTCGACGTTCGTTAGGGAAGGGAGGCAATGGATCGTGAGATGATGTTTCACTGAAGATTTCGTGGTGGGGATAGGGATTTCTAGGAGGTCAGAGCATCAATTGGAAGATAGGCGGTGGTTATCGGAAGTAAATCGACGCCAGTGGAGGAATTGAATGCTCGTCATCTGTTGTGGTGGGAGGACGAGAGAGAAGAAGATGGAAAGAAAAGAAAATTCGAAGAAAGGAATGACTAATGGTCAACTGAGTCGCTTTCTGGTTTTGTTTTTTAATTTTTTATCCACGTCGGTTGGTGGGGTAAATCAAATGCCAACTCAGCGTCTTCCGTTAGTCTAGTCTTAGCGTCAACTAATGTTGTTAACAAAATGGACGGGATTGGCTATTTTGTGATTACAGATAGTTATGGTTATATTTGTCACAAATGTGAAAATATGACTATACTAGTGTATTTTTTCATAATTTATAAGAAGATACCCCGAAGCATTTCGACGATTTTGTTTTTCTTAAGAGTATTTCATGGGTTTTCCAGTTCTGCATATAACACTATTCATCCTAAATCATTTCAATTATCGACAAATGCATCAAGCAAAATACATGAATACTAAATCTTTTAAGAAAGTCTTCTAGTCACCCACGAAGCCAAAGTACTATTTACATTTAAGAAAAATATTTTTGTGTGGATAATCAAAAAATTCTATTAGCTCTTAGTAGGGAAACTCATTTTTGTGCGAAGGTTGCTTGGGATAGAATTGCTTTGCCTCTTCTTGAAGGGGGTTTAGGGATGCGGGACCTTCCTGCTTGGAACCAAGCATGTACTGCCAGGATGCTTTGGATCCTCATGATGCGTTCTGGAGCTCTTTGGGTTGCCTGGATGTTGGCGTATCGCTGCAAAAGTGGGGATCTATGGACTATGAAGGTTAATGCTTCAAGTTCATGGGCATGGAGACATATATTGAAGCTAAGGGCGACTGTTAACTCGTACATGGGTTTGCAGGGGACTGTGGGCATGTGGAATGGGCAACAGACGCCTTTGTATTCTATAAGAGGAGTTTATGATACTCTTCGTCCTCTCGGCAGCAACAAGGCCTGGCATAAACTGTTAGGGGGTAAGTTTTCTCTACCATGTTGGAGTGTAATAGCTTGGATCATGGTCATGAATGCTATGGTAACTAAAGTTAAGTTGGTCAAATGGGGGAGAGCAAATGAAGATGGGTGTGTTTTGTGTGGGTAGAGTAGTGAGACGCAAGATCATTTGTTCTTTGAATGTAGTTTCTTGCAGAGAATGATTAGTGGCATAGATCTGGGTTTACGAAGTAGTACGTGGGACTCCATGCTCTTAGAGGCGTGTACGATTGTGAGGAAACACTCACCTCTGGGAAGACTGTTTAGTTTGATTTGGACTTCTTTGATCACCTTCATCTGGCAGGAGAGGTGTCGAAGGAGTCTTGGGGAGAAGCCACGAGAAGCAGAGGTAGTGGCAGAGCTTTGGAAAAGAGACTTGCAATTTGTAATTAGTGATTTCCCGATGCTAATGCATGACTGCCAGCTGGCGGGTCTTACATTTTTCCAGTATTAGAGGGTAGCTCTTGGTAGTACAGTGGGAGGGAGTTTTTGTTTTGAAGTAGTGTTTTCTAGCTGCTACACGGGTAATTTCACACTGGAATTGCCCCTTCGTTGTAATCAGTTGGGGTGGGGCTGTTTTGGTCTCACTGTTTTCTTTAATGAAAAGAATCTGATTCAACGAAGAAAAAAACTCATTTGAGTCTTACATTTATCAAAGTTACAATTCCATTTGTTGTAAAGCAGTACAATGGTATCACTTAATCGTTATTGACCAATTACACTAAATCACTTTTTAACACTAGCTATACTTACTATGCCTCTACAAAACAGTTCAAAATTCTACAATCCTCGCTAAGTTGTACATTCTCTTCACAAGCCAACATCACTAAACCTTTAAGCTTCCTCATTCCTTCTCCAACTGGTTTATCAGGTTCAACTCCACATTCCCAGAGTTAGCAACTACAGTGATGTGACCAGTCTCTAGCAACACTTCTTATCAGCAGGCGCCTCCGATCCTTCTTTCATAAGAATGTTATGCAAGCCAAGTTTCAAGTGCCCCGATACTCTTAATACCTAAACCTCTTTTTTATACTCTTAAGTGCTCCCAGCCTACCACAACTCAAGTTCTCTTAGAATTTTCTTTTATGTCCCATAGGAATTTACTAAATTTAGTGTCAATATCTTTTATCACTTATATAGGCAGCACACATATGTTCATCCAATATTGCACCATGATGTTAATTACTGAATTAATATATTTTCATCCTGAGATTCTTGTTGTGATCTTGTCAACCATTACTTTGCAATTTTAAGAAAACTTATAAAATAATAAATATTATTATAATAAATATTGTGACATTCTAAATCAAACTGCAATAAAAGCATTGATTTAGTCCAATTCAATTTAATCTGAATTAGATGTTCATCATTAGACACCGCAAAACGTCGGATCAATCATCTAGTATAAATATAAGTGAAACTTAACCCTGCCAACGAGCAAGGGACAAAGCTAGTTATTTTTTAATCTCTGCCAAAAACAAAGGTGTAAAATTCCTCATCTTCAATAACAGTGATTAACCTCGGTCTCCTTGTCAACTTATCATCGGCAAGTCTTAAGGTGTGAGATAACAATTCCAAAAGAACTTCAATTAGGATCCAAGATCTTCAATCCACAAGCATGTATCCCCCAGCTCAGTCTACGTCCATGCCCTCTTTGTCACAGCTCCTACTGGACCACAGCTTGATGGTTCGATCATGCGACACGGTTGCAATACATTCTCCATCTATAGATACAAGAAGAAGAAGAAAAAAAGTCAGCATTTGCGCGGTTCACAAAAAGAAGAAAAAGACTCACAACAGCAACAGATTATGACAAAACCCAACCTGGAGTAATATCCAAAGACGTAACTTTGGACTCATGCCCTGACAACGTCTTCACATGCGTGAAATCCTTTCCTGACCAGACCTGCCACAACCAACCGTGTGTATATAATATGAGTCACATGATAAGAACTTTAACCAAGAACTTGCAAGTTAACCAAGTTACCTTTGCAGTCGTGTCATATGACGCGGTGACCAAGTAATACCCTTCTCGAGGCTCAAACTTCACATTCGATACGAGATTCGAGTGCGCTGGAATCACGTACAACGACCTTCTCTTCCTCAAATCCCATATTCGACAAGTATTATCTTCACCTCCTGTAGCCAGATGATAGCCATTGGGAGAAAAGCTCATACTGAGAACCTGAAGGAGCACACACAAACTCAATAATCACTTCATTCTGGAAGTCACAAGCAGCAAAATTTACCGATAAAAAAAAGAGGATTAGAATGTTTAAATATCGAACCGGCTTGACGTGGCCTTCCAAGGCTAGAACGCTTCTCCCCGTACGAAGATCCCACACACGAGCAAGCGAGTCGAGCCCACAAGATCCCACCAACGATCCATCGTGATGGAAGGCGATCCCATACACACTCCTGCTGTGACCTTCTTGAAGGAGCAGTTCCACCCCGGTGTCGACGTCCCACAATCTCCATGTCTTGTCAAAGCTTGCTGTGCCGATGTATTTTCCGGATGGATGAAAACCGATGCGAGCAAGACGATCCAAGTGACCCTCGAATGTTCGGACTAGTGTTCCATCACTGTCCCACAGTTTTGCAGTTCGATCGGCTGATGCAGTTGCCAAGCAGTTGTTGTTCGCGGGAGAGAATGCCACATCAGTTAGCCGTTCCGTGTGGGCCTTCAAGGTAGAAACTATACTGCTTATTTGAGGTGCTTTCCACACTTTCGCAACTCCAGTTATTGAACTATAATGAGGAGAGGGGGAAAAAAAAAACAGTGAGCACAACAAGAAGCATGCAAGAAAACCAAAATAGTAAGAGGAATTAATGCCATAGGAGAAAATTACCATGTGGCCAAAAATTCTCCATCCTTGGAAAAGGAGCAACCAGAAAGGGGTCGATCATCTCCAAACTCGCTGCAGTCAAGAGCCAAATTTCCAGCTTGCTTCAAGGAAGCATTCATTTCACCATCTTCATCTTCACATGGAGTCTCACGTTTTAATCTGGCACGCTGAAGCCGCCTTGCCGCCCTCACGCTCGAGTATTTAGCAATGTCGACTCTGGCATTAAGGAGTTCCTTAGATCCTTCTGTACAAAACGGGTATTCAAGCATTTCTTCCTCAGCAGCATCTTGTCCTGAGGTCATCAATGCAGGCTCCTCTTCTTCATGGGCTTTCATCAACTTGTCCAACTGCCCTTCAGAGTCCAACTTTGCCGTAAGCATTCTAAGCCGATCCCGTCTCTCCATCTCTCTCTCTCCGAAAAGTGTTATGGGTTCACCGAGCCTACGAAGACGTGCCGTGACCACCATGTCATTGGTTGGAACAGCAAGAGCGCCAGCATGGCAATTCATCATGTGCTCCTCAACTGCCTTTGCTTCTCGAGTAGTGGCGAGAACAACCACAAATTATGTTACTACTTCTCCTACAAAAAAAATCGATACAAAAGATAAATTATTTCAAGATCAACCATAACATGAACTAATGTCCAAGTACATACATATGGACTCTTAAACCTAATAACATGGCTACCCTAATATTACTAGGCCTTTACTCTCCTTATCCTACTAACAAAGGTAAAACGTAACGCAAGCCAACGAAGTCCTAAATGAATAACTAATACAATTACTACTAGGAATGATATGCCAGTCGATGGCGATTAGTGCATGCAGAAAGCAAGGCGAACAAAAGGTCAATTTAATTTTTAATTAGAGAAGAAATCAATACCCAGCCGACGTGCAGCGAAGGAAGACAAGCGGAGAGAGGGAAAGAACCGTCGAACGGCGGCGGTGGAAACCCTTCTTCAAGTGGAAGCGCCGAAACCCCAGAAGAAGGAAAAAAACACTACTGTGTGAGCAAAATAAGAGCGTCGCTCATAAAACCGAAGACAGAACGTAACTTTTTGCTTGTTTGAGTCCAGCGCGAGACTCCGCGTCGGTTTACTGATTCTAGCCGCCTTTGCAGTTTGCAGACTTTGTTGGAAACCTAGCTACCTTTCTAAAACAAGAACGGAAATAGAACGGAGAGTTTGAAGGAAAGGAAAACAAGTTTTGATCATGAAAGGCACATTGACGTAAACAAATATATGTTTATGGGTTCTGGAGTTTATATGTTGTACGTAATGGGTTCTAGTTGTCCCATTTAAGCCCCACCTAGATTACTGTCCAATTTATAGATAAAATTAATTAGGCCCAGTACAGTACTTTGATCGAGACACAAATGCCAGCCCACTTCCTTATGCTTATAGTTATACCTTCAACCGAAACCACTGAGTTGTTTTAACCAGGAATTCTAACCCCATTAATTTGATCCAATTCTTTTATTTTTAAACAATTTTGTCAGATTGATTCATTTGACAATATAAATTTTGGATGAAACAATTTGGCCTGAAGAATTTCAAATTTATTCATTTTTAGGCTTGTCTAGAGTGAGAGCAAATATTTTGAATTGACTCCTTTTAAATTATCTCTTTTTCATTTGATGATCCAAATAATTATAAAGTTGATTTAGTAATCTAATCAACACATAATAACTAGAACACTGTCGTTTGCTCCAATATCAAGTTCCTCCCTTTAGGGTTTGCAGATCGTAAATCACTTCCCTGCAAGTTAGTTGGGAAGAACAGCCAAGAACACAAACCAGAAAACAACAAATAAAAGCCAGAAAATAAATATGCAAAAATGTAAAGAGATACAATAGCTGATGAATCTCAGTTTAGTTGTTAATCCCCACATTTTTGGATATCCGGCTGAAAAATAAAATACTTGTGGTTATGGGTAAAACTGGAATCTGAATATCACAATTCACAAATAATGCATGATTATGGTTTTTTTACTATCTAATTCAAACCTACTCAATATTATACATGCATACGCAATATTTTGTATTATTTTTATTTTAAATATTCGCTATTCTAGTATATTTGTAGCATCTCATAAAATAGTGTTCTTTTTTATTAATCCTCTTAGTATTAATAGGTTTGTGATTAGTAAGACAATAGTTGATAAGATAAAGGAAACATATTATCCATGGATACTCGGAACCCGATCGGGTATGGACATGATTTTAATTTTCTATACAAATTTTGTATGGGTACGGGTATGGATACTACCCGAGCTAGTTAAGGTACAATGATGGATAGTCACTATCCTTACCTGATCTGACTCGATAACATCCCTTGTTAATCCTGACAGTTAGAGGTGGCAAATGGATTGGATCCATGGATTGGTTGATTGGATTGGTAGATCCATCATCCATGGATCAAATGGATTCGTGGATTAGATCATAGAGATTGGTGGATTGATCAATGAAACCAAATAACATCCAAACCTTGAACCAATTTGTAAATTTGAAAAGTTTAGGTACTAAAATTTCATAATAAAAATTTAGGAATTAAAACGTAATTTTTCAATGACATTTTTCTTATAAAAATTAATTTTAGGTACAAAATTGTAAAATATAAAAATATATAGGCACTAAACTGTAAATTACCAAATATCATGAATCCAATCCATCAATCAAATTGGATTTGGATCAAATTGTTTGGATTAGTTGGATATTAAGTGGATGGATTGGATTGGATTGAATTGGTGGATTATAAATTGACATCTCTACTAGCAGTCGTGCTAAACTTTCTTTCACCTTTGCAGCTCAGTTTCGAGCTTTCGAGCTTCCAAGCTTCCCCTCAAATATTGTATGATCTCTAAAGATTTACTAAGGGTTAATATTTACGTATGGCCTGAACTTTGACCAAAATAAACATCCTGGCCAATTTTTCGATCTATAACATCCTGGCCCGAACTATACACCAAAATAAACAATTTGGCCAAACCTGATGTTTGACCGTTAACTTGGACGGTCAAACGCTTTGACTAACGGTCAACGCGCCACGTCACTGCCACGTCAGAAGATATGATAAATATTTAATTTTTTCCGTTTTTTATTTTTGGTTTAACTAAGGTATTTGATGATTTTTTTAAATTTATAATAATTTAAAATTAGGGAATGTGTGGAAATTGTGAATTATTTTAAATATTTTATGCTGACTTGGCAGTGACATGGCGCGTTGACTAACGGTCAACGCGTTTGACCGTCCAAGTTAACGGTCAAAAGTCGGATCTGGCCAAATTGTTTATTTTGGTGCATAGTTCGGGCCAGGATGTTATAGATCGAAAAGATTGGCCAGGATATTTATTTTGATCAAAGTTCAGACCATACGAAAATATTAACCCATTTACTAAATATATGTCTTAAAGCTCGTTGAATACAGTCGAACACCCGATTCAACACCTTGGCCAATGGAACATATTCTAACCCCTTTGGTCAACTCTCCATCAATCACTAGCTAGTATTTCCCCAATTTCTAAACCCAAGTTATCTCTTCGATGGCTTGAACCATTTTCCTATCAAACTACCCACAGCAAATACCCTTTTGCTCTCTCCGTAGTATTGATCTCTAGGAAAAGTTACATCTCTTATCAGGCTAAGGCTCATCGGTCTTGATTGTTGAAATTGAAAGCTTCTTGCCATTTTGAGTCGATTTTTTACCTGATAACTCGATATTTGTACACGTTTTTACCCATCATTCCTATACTAATCCTCGATTCTGGTTGTTATGGGACAATCCAAGTACCACATCGGAAATACAAGGAAAGGAACCCTTGTATATTAGTGTCCACCTAGCCCAATTAGTACGAGGCCTTTTGGGGAGGACACCCAAAAAGTAAATCTGTGCGAACTTGGCCCAAAGCGGACAATATCGTACTAATTGAGCACCCCAGTTTGACAAGTGGTATCAGAGCCTGATTGGTAGGCTGGGCAATTGCCTAGGGATCGTGGTCACTGTTGCGGTATCGGGAGGTAGTCTTCGATTTTGGGTTGGCGTCGGAAGCCCTTCCGATTTTCTCCAAATTTGGTTTGTGGTGGGTTCTTTTCTTTTGGCCCCATTGAATTCGGGCGTGGAATTATTAGACTTTTGTCCTTTTGTGATTGGACTGGTGCGCTTGGTCAGCTCTGGGATTGTTGTAAAATTTACTTGCGGTGGAGATAAGAGGTCAAAAGTAATTTCAACTGTGGCCGAAATTGTGCTCTCCTTGTGGCCATGGAAGTTTGAATTTGTGCAGGGTTTAGCAAAGCCGGCAATTGTAAGTTGGAGTTATGAATTGCCAAACGGTGGTTAATTTTGATTGCAATCATTAATTTGGTTGGTGGCCACAAGCAACTATGCTCGTGGGAAGTACAAGGGTAATTAGTTTGCAATATTGTGGAGTTACGTTGGGTTTGGGTTGCAATTTAGAAGAGTCCGGCAAAGTTTGAGCTCTTTTTTGTCCGATTGGAATTGTATTTTTGGGTTGTTGCTTTCTTTTGTCTTGCTTGTTTGGTGGAACGTCTGGTTAGGGTTTGGCAGAATTCTGTTTGTTATCCTTGAGTGGTGGTTAGGGGTTCCGATCAACAAGGATGTTTGTTCTGGATTTGAAAATTTAGAGTAGTTGGTTTGGAGTTAGAGTTAAATATGATGTTGGTGTTAACTGTTATGGAAGGAAATAACACCAAGTTGGTTTTGAATGGCAAATCTCAGCATGGGTTGGACTTGCCGAATGGTTTGGTTTGTTGACTGCCCTCAGGGGCATTTGGAGGCAGGGGAGATTTTGTCACATTTTGAGATTTGGAGAGTTTGTTACGTCTGACAATTTTGATTGCATTTGAGTTTGACGATATGTATCGCGTCTGGGTACATCTGGCAACTTTGGTTGCGTCTGGTACATCTGGTAGTTGAGAGAGAATTCAAGTCAAGGTAGAGATTGTTAGAATATGACTTGAATTTGATTTCGGTTTGTTTTGTGTTTGGGTCTATTTTGTTTGGGTTTGTATTTGGGCTTTGTTTTGACCTTTTCCTTATATGTTTTGGAAAAAGGTGTTTGGTTTTCTGTTTGGGATAAGGAGAAGAGTTCTATAAATACTCTTCACCCCCCGTAATCTGTAGTAAGGTCAGTTAGGTTAATTCATTTGTTTGGTTTGTCCGTTTTGGAATTTGGTTCGTAACCTGTAGTCTCCTCAAATTAGTGAAATATGTTCTCCCTTGCCCGTGGATTGGCTAGTACACATTGTATTAGTGAACCACGTTAAATTTGTGTTCGTTCGTGTTAGTCTTAATTATCGATTGCACGCTTCTGTTCTGACACTGGTGTTTTAATCGATTTCACGTTAGGTTGTTCTTGTTAACGAAATTTTAGGTCCTGGTACGTTGATGGAGGTGTGGACACGGATTTGGGGTCGATTGGACGAAGTTTGGACGCACGATGGGAAGGAGAGGAGTTGCACGGGCAGGATATGAATTCACACGGCCGTGCAACTTGACCGTGCAACACCTTTTTGCAGGGTCAAGGAGGTACGGGCCATGCGGGGTGCCCT